TCTTTCTAGCTTCCCCAGCCATGGGGAGGTGGCCCCCAATCTGGGCACATCTGTGGGGTGTTACCTACCTGCAAAAGGTGTCAGTTAGGCAGGTTAAGGTGGAAAGTGGATGAGAATCGCTGGCCTTAGTGCCTGTTGTGTGGTGAGCGCCCAGCATGTGTTTTAATCTATTGACCGATAACGCATATCAGCATTCTCTAAGGTGCCTTCTGGAGGGCACTAGGCTTTCGAGACACTCCTTGTTAGAAAAGTTCAGGAGCCAGATATGTTTGAGAAACACAGCTTCTTATATCTCCTTCTTAGAGATAGGCAGCACATGTCAGTGTAGTAAAAGCTCTGAGAAGTTCCCACAGTGGAGAGTCCTGCTTAGTTTTGTTTAAACCAGTGTTCTCCAAACTTGTGTGACTGTGGAATCCTTTTGATTTTTATTTATTTGTTTAATCTAGCTGTGCTGAGTCTTCATTGCGTCACATGGACTTTTCTCTGGTTGTGGAATATGGGCTTCTCTAGCTGCAGTTTGGGGCCTTAGTTGCCCCTTGGCGTGTGGGATCTTAATTTCCTGACCAGGGATTGAACCCATGTCCTCTGCATTGCAAGGCAGATTTTTAACTACTGGACCTCAGGGAAGTCCTGAGAATCCTTTCCTAAAGTTAGAGAGCTGCTAGTCTACTGAATATGCTTTGGCAAGTGCTGTGTAGCATGTAGTGAAATAATGACTTAGTTACTATGAGTCTCTCCTCTGGTAGTTACATTTCATAATTTCTACAAGGTTTTACATTTTATAATTTTTACAAGAAAAAGGGCTGATGTATCCCACATACCAGAGTAAACTGCTCTATGTTCAGTTTAATTAGCTCTCTGTGCCTTTGAGAAACCATGAGGGTGTCTCTTTGTTCACCCTTATCTTATACTTTATTTAACCCTGAATTCCAGGAGCCTGTGGGAGAAAATACTGTGCTCTGGAGCTATTAGAGTTGTTGCCTACCTTCATTACAGTGGATGTTGGTCTGTCCCTGTCTGTTCTGCCTGATTGACTATTGCTGAGACTCCCTTTGGCACAGACAGATGGACAGACACCACCCAGTGTCATGGACAGGCTCAGCTGTGGACCAGACATGCCAAAAATAAAACCATGGTGTTCTCGCTAGTCAGAACTGGGACTCCAGTGTTATTGAGTCATTATTCCATTCTTTATTGCCTGACCACTTGTGATCAGATGAGGGTTTGTTTCCCCGACGCCCTTATGGCTGAGATGGAGAGGTGTGGGATGACTGTGGTTACGTGGATTTGTAGCAGATGCTGAGGCCCTGCCCAGGGTGGGCTGCTTAATGGATCCCTGTCAGCCTGGGAGGAGGGCTCTAGCGCTTTGCCACGGGCTCTCTCCGCAGCCCCATCCTGGTTAGTTTTTTTAAATAATTAAGACATGAAGGCCCATAGACTACATTTTGCAGGTGACTTATGTAAAGGAAAAGTATCATACATATAATGGATGAAAGAATTAAAGTGCAAAGATGAAATAAAATGCTGGGAGTGGGTATGTGTGATGAGCTGAGATTTAAAATGAATAAAAAGTTTAGAAAGCTAAGAATTTAAAACATGATAGTGTGAGAGTAAGAAATGGGGGCTTTTTTTTTTCTTTTCTTTATTTACAGTTGGTGTTTAAGAAGACCGAAGATTGATAAATACCAAATTGAGGTTACTGTTGGGGAGAAAAGGATGTGGACTCGGAGAGATACATAGGAGTTTTAAGCTTATTGGTAATATTTGTTAAGCAGGGTGGTGTGTCCATGGGTGTTTTTAATATATAACTTTGTCTGCCTTAAATATTTATTAAAATAAATGGACTCCAGAAGCTCTGAACTATGGGTTCTGCATTGTATCTTTAAGTGAAGTAGCAAATTAGCATCTGATAAAATCCTTCTGTTCATGGCACTTGAAAGTTGTTTATCTGGGATATTGTTTAGTCGCAAGTACCACATTTGAAGAGGGACAATGCAGATGCATAAACATGAGGGTCCGTTTCAGAGGTAATGAATATGGGAGCTAGTTCTGTGACAATTAGTTGAAGGAAATGTGTAGTAGTTTTAGACCAGTGAAGAAATGACTGAGGGGAAACGTGATGGCTGCCCTCGTCACTTAACTGTTGGTATGTCTTTTTTGTTCCTCTTTTCAGATACTATCATCTTCTTTTGTGTTAGATGTTTTTCTAGCATACCATTCTAATTCTCTTGTTTCTTGTACAAGCCATATTTTGGAGTTATTTTCTTAATGGTTGCCCTAGGGGTTACAGTGAGCCTCATAAAACAATCTAGTTTTGACTAATACCAACTTAATTCCGATAGTACAACCAAAGTGCTCCAGAATAACTGTGTCCCCTCTCCTTTCTTTGTGCTATTATTGTGTACAAATTCTATCTTTATAAGCCCATCAGCAGTTTTAGGCTGTGTCTTTCTAATCAGATGGAAGAAAAGGGATGCAAGTAAAGTATATTTATACTGTCTTTTTTATATTTACCTTTATAGTGATGTTTACTTGGAAAATAAAGTATATTTCCTTTCAGTTTCAGCCTAAAGGCCTGCATTTAGGCAGTCAAAATATGGTATTTAGTATTTCTTGTAGGGCAAATCTACTCCAGATGAATTCTCTTATTTTCTGTTTATTTGGGAATATCTTAATTTCTCCTTTTATTTTTGAAGGATCATTTTGCTGGATATAGATTTGTTGATTGGCAGTCTCTCTTCAGCAGTTTGAATATGCTGTATGCCACTGCTTTCTGAGTTCCATGATTTCTGAGAAGTATAGAGTACTTTGTGAATGAATCTTTGTTTTGTAGATCCTTTCAAGATTCTGTCTCCAGCTTTCAACAGTTTAACTGTGTCTAGGTGTGAGTCTCTTTGAGTTTATTCTTCATGGTGTTTGCTGAGCTTCTTGGCTATGCAGATGAATGCTTTCCCTCAAATTTGGGGGAATTTTTGGCCTTAATTTCTTCAAGTATCCTTTCTACTCCTTTTTCCTTCCCTATCTGGGACTCCTATAATGCCTATATTGGTCCACTCAGATGGTGTCTTATAGTTCTCTGAGGCTCTCTTAATTTTGTTAATTTTTTGTTCTTTTTCTTTCTCAGTGTGGAAAATCTTAATTGACCTTAAATTTTCTGATTCTTCTTCTAGCTCAAATCTATTGTTAAGCCCCTTTAGTGATCTTTTTTTTTTTGTTTCAGTTATTATACTTTTCAACTATAAAACTTCTATTTGGCTCTTTAAGAAAATAATTTCTATCTCTTTATCAATATTCTGTACTTTCTGAGACATTGTGCATATATGTTTATTTAGACATGCTTTCCTTTAGTATTTTGAACATATTTATAATGGGGTGTTCCACTCCCCAGGTTTTCCTTTTTAAGTCTTTCGATCAGCCTCCTTTTAGCCCTAGTTGGTAGTGCCATGTCGGGCAGCTGCACTGTTAAACAGTAGTCCCTTATTTTTTCTGACAAATGCCCTGGATATAGGACAGAGTTAGATCTCAGTCAGATCAGATGAAGAAGACAAGCCTTCAGAACAGAGCTTTCTAGCAAGCTGCCAGACAGGCCAAAGAGTGACAGTTTTCTGGGGATGGTACTTTTGGAGAGCTGTAAACCCATTTGGCCTCTCTGGGAGTTGCTAGACCTCTGGTTTTTATAGCTACTGTAGTTGGAGGCTGTTGGTTTTCAAGGCTACCATGGAGCTGGAGGACGAGGATGGGATTAATGCAAGTGAAAACAACACAAAGGTTGCTATTCTTATTAAGATTCAGCAGTTTTCCTTGAATAAATGCTCCTCAGAATATTATAAGCTTTTAGTTAATTTCTGGAGCTCTGAAAAAGTTGATTTTTGACAATTTTTGGCAGTATTCTTGTTGCTTCCTTGGAGGAGCAGATTTTCAGCGATCTTCACTCTGTAGTTAGAAAGTTAACCGCCTAGCAGCACTTCATCAAGTGAGGCACCCTTGTGTAAAGAAGAGTCTGCCGGGCACATGCTGTGTGTTCTCTCTCACTGTGTCTCATCTTCTTTCTTCTTATCTGAGTGTTTGATGTTTTGGAGTAGCCCCAAGGGAGTGTTATGGAGTGCAGGTTACTGAGAACCACTGGTCATGACTTTATTAGAAGTGAGGCTCAGCCTTTGGGTGGGCAGCAAGCGGAATGTTTTGCAGACCTCAGATCATGTGGATCTGCTGCGTCAGTGTCTCATTTCACCAGCAGAGTCCATCCTTTACAATCTGCCCAACTTGGTACAGTAAATCTCATGATGAAGAAAATCCATCATTTCCGCAAGTTAGGCTTGGAAGACAAAGCTCTTAACGGCTAAAACAGCCCTTTCCTCTGGATACTGTTGGGATTTGAAATCCAGTCCAGATATAGTGTTCATTTCTCTCTATCAAATCTTATCATCCTAGTTAATAGCTTGCCTTTTCTGTTGAATATTTTTTATTTACACACTTAAAATCTGAGTTTTCACTCATAAAATGAATTTGAATTTCTCACATGACCAGAAGTTTGGGTTATGGATATTAATTTTATCACAGCTTTTTACTTCAGAGGTCATCAGTGTCTAGCTCTATAAGATGGAAATACAAGTACCTATTAGTAAAAAGCAGAGATTCTGTTCTGAAAAGCTGTGTGTGATTTTGTATCTGTTAACATGTTGGTGTATATTTTTTGTCTTTTACATGCTTGTGTATTTTTCTCTGTATATCTTGTATTTACATGTGTATGTATAAAATAATTTAACCAGATAGTTTAAAATGTGGCATTAGGTTGGTAGTACAGTAATTTTGAAATCTTGAAAGATAAAACTGGAAACATTTGCTTGTATTTTTTTCGCCTCGGAGGATTTTGTTAATGAGACATTTTATACTGCCATAAACCCAGGGCAGTGATAAAGAAAGGTGTTGATTGATTTTTGGATGATAGGGGACGTCTCTAATTGCAGAACTTGACGTTTGTGTCACTTGGGCTGTTGTAGGTGAGCAAGACATGGAAGGTGATTGCGGAGGACGAGGTGCTGTGGTACAGGCTGTGCCAGCAGGAAGGCCACCTCCCCGAGAGCAGCATCTCCGATTATTCTTGCTGGAAGCTCGTCTTCCAAGAGTGCCGAGCCAAGGAGCACATGTTGAGAACCAACTGGAAGGTAGGCAGTGGCCAGTACCATTACCTGCAGGGGAATTGCCTCCAGGGACCCAGGAATCCAAGCCCGGGATTAAACCCTGAGTCCCTCCAGTTTCAGCCTGAGGTTCACTGCTGAAAGCAGAGAGAAGGGTATGGTGAGTGCGTGTCCCTGCAGCTGACAGTGACTTGTTGACCATTAGAGTATCTGTGCTCATTTCTAGCCACCTATTTGGGAGCATCCTTTGTCCTCCAGGAGAGGAGGTGAGCTTGAGGTGCCAGAAACCTCCCTCTGATGGTTGGGGTGTTTGGAGTGGTGTTCCATGCAGCCCCCTTTCACTGTTCCCTCTTCCCTGGATGGACCAAGAAAGCATCACCTGAATACAAAAGAGGGGCTGAAAGTGCTCTTTCCAGTCAATGTAAGAGGGAGATTACTAAGCGTCTCTAAGTACTGTCTTCCCTTCCCTCACATAACCTATTGGCTTGCTTCCATAACATTTATCACTTCAAAATCTCTACAGAAATATTAGGTCACAGCTGCGCATTTTCCCAGTGAAGTGTTTCTGTAGAAATCATGTCAGGAGCAGTGTTAAACGTGGAGCTGTCCGAGGCACGAGGAGACGCTGGCCTGGTGGCCGTTTCTTCCCCCTTGGGGGCTGGGTGTTCAGGTGGAGGGAAGGGACAGAACTGGATTCTCTGTTCCCCTCCTGTAAAAGTCAGTCCTGATAAACTTTGAGATGAACAAGCTTTTGCTCATTACTGATGGTGCCCATGTGCACGTCTGCCACCAGTCACCTCACAACCTGATTAGTGACCGTATTCTAGATCTGGGCAGTGTCACAGTTCCTAGCAAAGTCAATAAGAGCAGTGTTCCTTTAACTTGGCGCTTCTCAGCCCTGGCGCTGGCACCATCTGGGGCGAGATCCTTTTTAGTGAGGGTTGTCCTGGGTGTTGCAGGATCTTCTGCTTCTGTGGCATCTCCAGCCTCTCCCCAGTACAGGCCAGAAACCATTCCCTTCCTTCCCCCAGCATCACCCCTGGTTGAGAGCCACCCTTCCAAAGAGAAGTAGCACAGCTGTCCTTAGACCACAGAGACACTTCCACTAAATAAAAGTCCCGCTGCCCTGCCATGTGCATCCAGACCAGGTGGAGGCCTCCTCTTCCCCTTTTGCTTGGTTTGGTCTGTGTGAAGGACATAAGTGAGAGCAAACCTGCTGAGACAGGCTGGAGATAGGAAAGCCAAGGGTCTAACCCTGGCAGGAGTAGCCATAATTTAAGGAACGCTTGAGAGGAGGGTGTTCTGTCCAGGAAGGAGGGATGCTTTTGAGAGTTGTGAGCACAAGAGCTGGAGATACTCCAGATGCCATGGCTCAAGTTCATAAATGTCAGATCCTAAGGGAGAACACAGCAGCTGAGTTCTTTGTTTGCTCCAGAGACAATGGGCACTTACCAGGTGCAGTTGGTAACCTGGCAGACTCCACCTGCCAGTGTAGGAGATGCAAGAGACACAGATTCAATTCCTGGGTTGGAAAGATCCCCTGGAGAAGGAAATGAAAACCCCCTCCAGTCTTCCTGTCTGGAGAATTCCATGGATAGAGGAGCCTGGTGGGCTACAGTCCATGGGGTCGCAAAAGAGTCGGACACAGCTGAGCACACACACCTACATACACCAGAGCCAATGAGGGAGGGAAGCAGGTATGCCCTCCTCATCCAGGCTGGAGGGGGCAGAAGTGAAGGTGTGTAACGACCTGCCTCATAGCATCTGGAACTTAATGCCTGTGTACAGATTGCATGCAGTTTAACTGAACATCTGTTCATTGTTTTCTCTAAGGAGCACAAAGCCATGTGTTTGGTAAGTGCGCAATAAGAGGTTGTTGCTTGAGTGAACTGGAGTCAGACTGGAGGGAGGCTTCTCTTTGAAGCATCCTGGGCCCGCATCCTGCGCTGTTACCTATAAGGACTGCAGAGGTCAAGTGTCAAGTGACGTCTCTTGCATTAACAGTAGTGATTCTGGAATGAAAGGAATTCTTATGAAGACATGAAAGGTAGCAGAGAGCAGGATGCCTTCTCTGCGGGTGCCTCTGCTTTCGCATCTCTAATGTGGAGCTGAGAGTAGCTGCGCTCTCCAGGCTGCAGTAAAGAGGACTGTCTAGTGGTACCTGACGCTCCTCCCACAGGACGTGGCCCGTGTCTGCGGCTCAGTTAGCCTTGACTTTGGCACACGGACGCTGTGGTTTGGTGCTGTCCCTGGTCATCCTCTGGATGGGTCGGGGAGGTGATTTGGTCTGACATCTCCTAGGTCAGTGTCTGGGGAAGCTCAGAAGGGACCCCAGGGTTCTCAGTACTTCACACAGAGGGTGACCTGCACAAACTGACCTGGACTTCAGAGCAAGGGTGAAACGGTGTTCCTTTCCCTGATGTTTGCACACACTTGTTTCACGGTGGCTGCTAGGGTCTCTTAATCCAGAATACCAGTGTGGGGCTGGAGCCCAGGACGAAGAGGAAGCCACGTGACAGAACTCCGTGGAGGCCGTGAGGGCACAGGCCCTCTCCTTGGCTTTCCCCGCCTGGTCTCTCGCTTGCTGCTCTTGTCACTTTGGCCGGGGCGCCTGCACGATGGCTCTGCGGCCCCTCCCGTGCCTCCACCAGCAGGACAGCCCCTCCCGGACGCGTCCAGTGGGATCCCTCGGCCTGGACTCAGGCCTCGAGTTCAGCGCGATGCCGAGCGGGTCATCTCACACAGCGTCTGGAGCTCAGCTGCTTAATAAATGTCGGTTTTAGTGGAATGGATGTCATCATCTGTCTCCTAATAATAATATAGATAGTAATAGTAGCTACCATCTATTGGAAACTTGTGTGCAAAGAACTGTCCTTGGCACTTATCCTATTTCTGATCCTTATGCTGGTACAGCAAAGGTGAAGTTATGGATGGCTTGGTATTCTTTTTTTTTTTTTAGTATTGTTGACTTAAAATATTGTGTTTCAGGTGTATAGGAAAGTGATTCAGTTATGTATTTATATTTTTTGATGGCTTGATATTCTTGAATACCTTTATGCATGCTTGCTTTTTGGCTTAACTGTCCCACCCTTCCCAATATCCCACATGTAAATACTTTCTATACCTCCAGATTCCCTTTATTTTAAAAATAATTATTTGTGTATATTTTGAATCAATAAATAATCATGATACAATAAATCAAAAGTCATCAAAGGGCATATATTGGAAAATATATCTTCCTCTTGCCTCTCTTCACCTACATCAGGAGCTACTGTGTTATGGGTTTTAGGGTTTCCTTTATATACCATTTCCATGAACCTCTGACCTCAATCAGAAATAATCTCTTCTCTCCCCCCCCCACCCTGATTTTTATTTTGTTGTATATATGTTTTAATTTTATTCTGAGGGCGCTTACAGGAGCTGTTACCAGGTAAAATAGCATTAACTATGTCCTCTCCACCAAACTAAACTTTTTACATACACTTTATGCACTTCTTCACCGGCAGCCTCTGCAGAGTGAAGTCGTTTGCTCCTGTAATCCCCTGGCGGGAGGTGGGGTCAGTGTCTCAAAGTCCGGCTGCACTCAGTGTGTGCGGGCTCATAAGTGCTAGGAGCTTAACATACTGGTTGTCGTCTGTGTCCTTTTGTGTCTCTAACTGTGGACACAGGCCCTGCTGTAGATAACCCACCCTGGAATATAGGTGAGAGCGCAATGCTTTGTCTCCCTGCCATCCCGAGAGCAGTATAAACCGCACCCCTTTTCTCACGCAGAATCGCAAAGGCGCGGTGAGTGAGCTGGAACACATTCCCGACGCAGTTTTATGTGATGTGCACTCTCACGATGGCGTTGTCATTGCTGGGTAAGCGAAAACAGTTTTCCATTTAATACTCTTCATCCTGAGGTCTTTCACTTCTCACAGACCACCCTCTGCGTCTCAGCCACCGCATTCTACCTCTGGGAGCGCGTGCCTTCCCACTCACAGCCCGTATGGAGACAAGACGGAGCCCCTGACTGCATCCTCCAGTAGTCAAGGGTTCTGAAGCGAGTGGGGTGGGGTGGCTATGTAATCCATTTGTCTCATATCTTTTGAGCTTTTAAATGACTCTTGTGGCATGTTACTATGTTAGATTTTCATTAAGGCCAACAGTTTGTTCTTTATGAAGACATAAAAAACTCAAGCAAGAATAATAAGTGTTGGCAGAATCAGGTCCTATCCTTGATTTCTCATTCTGAAGCTTTCATTATGAGGAAGGGCTGTGGCCACACAGGTAATCTTCCTTCCCTACCACACAGTTCATATTTGCAGTTAACTTGTCCTGAAATAGGCGTTTTATTATGTATCTGTCTCCATTGCTGAGAAATTTAATTTTAGCTTCTGTGAATTTGGCTTCTATTCCAAAAACCACTTTCATGAATTCTTCATGTTTTATCAGAGACATGGTTTTATGTGTTTCTTTAACATATACTAAGGTGGTAATTTTCTTTTTGAATTAACAATATGTCTTGAACTAGAGTCTCACATTGTGTACCTAATGCTGTAGAGACCAGGACACTTAAACTTCTGGGTCTGAATTGACTCTGAAGTGAGCCGCCCAAAAGAGGTTTCTCCTGGTTGGACAAACAGAAGGAAACCTTGGACTTAACAACATAGTCATAGGAGAGCCTTTTCCTTTTAAAGAAAACTCCAGAAGCATTGCTTGAAGAGTATTGTTTGAATTGAAATTTCAAAGAGTCAGATTATTTTAATATTTTGTGCTTTCATAGTACCTTTGTAAAAGTATTTTGCTTTAAACAAGTTATGCCTTAGGAGCAACACTTTCCTTTATCTTGTGTTTTCCTGACCGTGATTTTGAGGTTAATGCCCTTCTTGGGAGTGCCATAAAACTGTTACTTTTAGAAAAATTGATGGACTAGAAATCTAGAATTCTGTCCATCCAGTTATCAGTGTGGTGCTAGGCTTCTGCCCCCATCAGTCAGGTGTGGGCCTGAGAGCTCATGCCAGGTACGGTCCTCTTCACCTGCTAATGCTGAAACTCCTTAGTAAACCCCCAGAGGGACTGGGATCGTTCTAGTTACAGGGGTCTTCTGGTCAGAGGACTTTGAGAACAGACTGTTGAGATTGAACTGAAAGTCATAAAAGGAATTGAAATAAGGAAGATGACTCTGGAAAGCCAATTATGAATTTCTTATCTGGACGAGGACCTTACAAGAGGCAGCCTGGCCATGAGTCCAGATCCCAGTCCTTCTTTTCCTGCCTCTCCGTTCCCCCGAGGCCTGCTCAGCGTCACGGATTATGCCAGCACAAAGCACAGTGATGGCAGAGTTTCGTGGATCGATAAGATGAAACTTGATCCGTGGGTCAGAGAGGCTCCTCACAGCCCCTCTTTCTAAGAGAACCTTATGTTGATGGCCTAGCCTCAGATACTTCAGTCTTGCTTGTATATACAGCATCTTGTGTTTATCATTAAAATTTTATCTGGTGGTTACGATGCTTGTTTTCTGGGTCAGATCTTGAATCCCTTTTCATTTGAGAGCAGTGGTGTTTGCGGTTACCTCATTCTCAATCAATGTTGTATTCACCAGGCTTTCTGCAGTTATGTATCTCCAAGGAGCTTCTTAAAGAGACAGTGGCCACCCCACCATTTCTTTCTCATTTACTTCTCTTGCATTTTTCCTATTTTTCTTCTTCCTTTCCTTCTCCTCTATTTTTTATGCAAGTGGAATCTGTTCAGAGGCTTAGTTTTATATATCTGCAGGTAACCTATGTTCCATGTTTGCATTTAAACCTGTTAATTCTATAATTGAAGATTCTGTTGCAGAATCTTTTCCCAGCTTCTTCTCAGTTTTTCAGTCCTCTGTGTAGGTGTTCCTGGTTTGGAGTTGGATTGCTTAGACTTAGACTGATGCATGTTACACATAAAGGTAGAGTTAACCCAGTCTTGGTTCTGCCTTAGTCTTCTTTTCATGCAGAGCCAGGGTACCCATCAAATGCTTATTTGCTCATCAATTCTGAGACACTCGAGTTCCTGTCAAGTGAACAGGACGTGGATGTCTCTCACCTGAGGCTTGTTTTCCACCAGAGGAAACAGACATTATTCTCAAAGCTTTTGATCTTTCCCTCTTGTCGATGAGTGTTTGTTTCCCTTCCTATCTTGTGGATGATAATTCTCAATTACCTTTTCCTGATGCTTGGAGCCCTTTGAAATTTGTTTCCAACCTTCCTTTTTCCTCATTACTCTTCCCAGGGTACCTTTGGTTTTTCTCCCCCCATACTGTCCTAGTTACCTCTGCCCATGTCTTTTTAAACTTGAGATGCAATTTACATACCATAAAATTCACCCTTTTAATTGTGTAAGTCAGTGATTTTTCCTACATTCACAAGGCTGTATAACTGTCCACCATTATCTAATTCTTGAACATTTTCGTCGCCTCCAGAAGAAACCCTGTCTCCATTTCTTCTGGCCCAGCTCAAGCCTTGCTGCCGCCTGCAGCTTCCATGGCACACAGGCCTATTGGCTCTCCCTGCCTCCAGGCCAGCATCTCCCCTTCTCATGCCTCCCAGGGAAGCGATTGCCTGCAGCTCATGGGGCAGCTAACCACATGGCTTTGAGGCTTCACCGAAGCATTTTTGTCTTATGTTGTTATTTTATTTTTAAACTTTATAGTCATGTAAATTCCCAGTTAATTTGTAAGCATCTTTTAAAAGTAGAAGTGTTATATAATATTTCATTAAGCTCCCTGTAGTACTAATACATTTTTTTAATCTGAAGAAGAATGTTAACACTTAATAGATTCCCTTCCGCCGATCTGTATGCTACATGTTACATGAGAAACTGGAGGAATTCCTGATTTCTTTTGTCTGTTCTGATTTCCTAGTTCTTTTCAACTTAAGGTTCTGCACTTCCACAGCAGGGAAGCTGGGTTTGATCCCTGGTCAGGGAGCTAGGATCCCACATGCTGCATGGTGTGGCCAAAGGAAAAAAAATTATCTTAAAATGCCTTCAATAATCCTCAAGTTCTTTCCCATTTAACTTTTTGCCTTGAAGTCTCTAAACCGTCCCTCAAACCCACTCTCCTGAGGGTACCTTCCCGTTCTCAGTCAGCACCATAAATAACACGAGCCGGATCTCGTTGACTGTGCTCCTCTTAAAATGGTGGGGCCTGTGTGTGAAGAGTGTGTAACCGCAGAGCCGAAAGAACACCCGTCCCAGCACCCAGGAGGCTTTGGGGCAGGCATGCACAGAAGGAAGAGCCCCTCACTCGCTGTGCTCCCCGAGCCGCCTTGCTGCACCTTTGACTCACAGACCTCTGCTCGGGTCCCCCCTCACACCTCTCTGTGGTGTCGTGTGGCCACCCGGCAGCGTGTGCAGCATCCCAGAAGATATCAGAAACAGTTTTTTCTGTGCTGCTGGAAGCCCCTGCGACTGTGACAAAGTGCGTGATTCAAACACAGCTTGTGCTTAGACTTGTTTTTGCTTGCTGAGATTTCCCATTTCTTTAACCTGAGAGTAGCTTGTGCTGAGAAGCCACTGGGCTGTGTACGTAAGCTGCCTTTCTCTTTCTGTCAGAGCTGACCCTCTGTCTGCATTTCCTCTGTGATCTGGTAGCGTTCCTGAAATGCGCTGAGGTTTAGTGTGTGCCGTCCTTGGACTTAGAAGGAGATGTTACCTAGAAAGTTGGTTGATAATAAGTGGTTAGGAAGCATGGTGGTTGTTTCCTTCTTTTTCTTTGTTTATGGTGAGAGCTCGAGAATTGTAGAATGTCTCTCAAATGACACGTTTATCATTGAGGGAAAAGACCAAAGGGACGAGGCTGTGACAGCGTCCCCGTCCTATGTTGTGTTGTGAGACCTAGACAGTCCTCTTTCTCCACAGTCATACTGAGAGTTACGGGTGTTGAAAACAGATGACATCATGACTTCAGAAAGGTCACATTATAACCTGAGATGCAGGGCTAGGTATACTTTGCCAGCAATATGTTTGCTTTACTGCCATCTAGTGAAGGAGAGCATCTCAGGTAAAACTTGGAGGAGAAAGTCAGCCAGGGGGCTCACTGGAGGCCTTGTGCCGGCCATTAAGCTATTAGCTCACCAAAAGCTTTTATCAGATGCCCAGGAGTATGCCGTGGTGTGTTTTGCAATAAACTCCCTCCTCACTGTTACTTAAGATTCATAAGTCTGAAGCGTTTCAGTTTGCATGGGAAAGCACACTTTTCTATTCACATTAGAGGACCATTTCCCCCCCTTTCGGTTTAAAAAGTATCAAGTCCTCTTTTTGTGTCAAGGTTTTTCTCAGTACTCCTAAATGCTCCCCCCACCCCTCTTCCGTTCTCTGCTATGGTGATCTGCCTTTTTAAGGTACGCTTCCTGTCTGTACTGAAAAGATTGGTGACTGTGTGTCTGTGTTTCTCTTCACCCCCACCTATGGTTGGAGGGAAATCTCTATCATTGAATGTCACCAAGTATTAGCTGTCATCTTTCCCTAAGAAGTTCTCTGTTGTTCCATTTGGTCTACATTGATTTTCCCCATCTCCGTTCCCTTTTGAGGCAAGTAAGACACAGAGCAAAACTGCCTACGTGTCTCTAGCAGCCGAAGTGACCTCTGGCTGTTGTTCTGGCTTTTATTATGACTAAAACTCTGTCCACACGACCTGGATAGTCAAGAGGGTTGCCAGTCTTCTGTGGACATGAAGTAGCATTTTGAGCTTCTAATCTATGTATGTTAGATTGGGTGTCTGAATCTCTGGGTTCACTTTGCCTGTTGACACTTTTCTTGGAATGTTGTTATTGTTTATAGCTAAGAACTGTTGAAAATAATACTTCAGACATAGGCATGTGTCTAAGGTAATCTTGAAATGTCT